TTTCGTTCATTGTTTCTGTAATGCTGTCATGTTTGATGATAGGGGTAGGATGTTATTGTTTGTTGATGGTATCAGAAAACTATTTGAGGTACCTGGTTCAGTAGATAATATTGAAAATTTGATGATTTTGAAAGTTCAGAGAGAAAGGCCCAGAGGCAACAGAGACAGCCATCTTGTTTCCTTATTCAGAGTAACTTTGTATAACTTCAGAAAACTGATGTGTTTACAGAATGTCTCCCTCAGATTGCCAGAGGGCTGGGCCATTGACTTGAAACAAAACCGTTTCCAGGAGTCAGATATTTCTGATACCTTCACTCAGTCATTTTCACATGTAATCAGTCTTTTATATCTTAAAGGGAGACTAGCATTGGACAAGTTGACCTTGCAAGGAAGTTGGGTTCATATGATTAAACTCAACCACCTCAGTTTGACAGTGATCATACAGCAGAGTCCATCTTTAAGTTTTCACATCAGTCTGGAGGGGACCAGTCATTTATGCTGCTGCAGAGTTGCATCCCTTAGATGTGTCAGTATGCTATGATCATGGAGTGGAATCCCAGATTTCCCTGTGTATGATCCTTATTTTTGTCAGCACAATACAAGTATTTTGTAAGTTTCACCAAAGTTGTAAACAATGAATTACTCCATCACTTTGGGCTTTCCTAAACTTAAGGGGTATTTGTCTGCACTATTGTTGAAAGTGACATGTACCACATCCCTCTTTGATGAGAGTTAGCCCTATTTGAATTTAAACCACTGAATTCTTATTTTAATATTTAAATGGCCACATAAATGTTTGGCCATAATTAAGATAAATGTTTGACTATTGTTTGATGTTATTCCAATATTTAGCTGCAGAACATGTTTTTAAAAGCCATCTTGGACTGTTTCCCTGGACTGATGCCAAGTTTTTGAAATTCAAATCTCTTCCTAACTGCTAGAAGGTATTCTAAATTGGAGATGCATGGCTTTGAATTTTAAAAGGGGAAAACACACGCAAACATTTGGAGATAGCTTTTGACACAAAACATCGCGCCGCTGATTATTCCTTGATAAATGCTTAAGGGTATCAGCATCTGCCGTCAGTGAAGAATTTAGATTGGATACGGTGTCTACGCTTCAAGTACAGATCTTTTCAAAATATCTGCAGGTTTGTTTCAAGAAGTTCCCAAGTCATGCACAACTTATGAAAGAATTTTCTTAAAGTTCACTGTGATGGTAACTTGTTATGTTTCTTCATCATCAGCGACTCCCAACAACAGTATACCCCCTGGTAAATCAACAGGGAGTGATGGTGTCCTTGGCTCATCTATAGTTGAGGTTCCTGAGAGGCATATAGAAGTTGGTATTCAAGTATAAGACAAAATATTATGGATGTCAACTTCTTCTTTATTCACCTGAAGAAGGAGTAAGGAAAAGCCCAGAAACGTTGTGTATACAATAAGGAAGAAGTTGACATCCGTAATATTTTGTCTTATAATGTATATTTGCTTATATATTTCATGTGGGGCGGTGGGGTAGCCTAGTGGTTAAAGCGTTGGCTCATCACGCCGAAGACCCGGGTTCGATTCCCCACATGGGTACAATGTGTGAAGCCCATTTCTGGTGTCCCCCGCCGTGATATTGCTTGAATATTGCTAAAAGCGGCATAAACCAAACTCAGTCAGTCAGTATATATTTCATGCAGAATATCCTTTGGCCATTATAAATCCTGGCCATATACAGTAAACCACAGTTATTACTAATTTAAAGGGACCACTTCTTCTACTTTGTTATAACGATAGTTTGTTGTTACTTATTATTATAGGATATTTATATAGTACACATATCCAGGCAACTAGTGCTTGCTCAAGGCGCTGGTGTTTTTTCCCTCGATCATAATGTCAGTCTCAACGGCACATCGTGTTATCAATCTCAACTCCCTGGGGATCATGCTCAATTTGACTAAACTATACTGCAAGTGGCTGGTACCAAAAAAGACCATTCATTATGTTTGTTATAAGCGTGCTTGTTTTTAACAGTTTACCTTTAATCAAAGCTTGTTGTTTGACTGTATTATAATGTAACTATATCATTTCGTAAGAATTCAGGGTGAACTCATGGTGTAAGGTAATAATGGAGCTACTCATCAGTGACCAACCTCGACCAACTTCTTGAGAATGTTTTGTTTTTGATGAATATAAGTCACAGTGAATATCTGCATGGAAATAGTCACACACATGTATTCTTTATATTAACTAATATATAGTACATGTTCATGATATGTTTGTATATTTAATTCATATGTGTGTGATAAGTCTCATTTCTTCATAACCGTGGTATAAACCAAAAAACATCATACAAGCCCATTTTTATTGGGTGTGTAATATACAAGTGGAAACAATCAACATGTGTACAATGTTTCACATGGAATGACATGGTGTGAGGGGTGGGGTAGCCCAGTGGTTAAAGCGTTCACTCATCAAACCAAAGTCCCAGGTTCGATTCCCCACATGGTGAAAAGCCAAAGCCTTGTGCCCCAATACCATGATATTGCTGGAATATTCCTGAAAGTGGCGTAAAACCCAGCCCACTTACTAGTGTGTATGAGGGATGTTTGTTCAAGCAGAGCCAGCAATACTGCAGCAATATGATGACAGCACTTATCCAATTAGATTTGTACATAGCAACTTTGTCATTTGGTTACCATTGAGAGTGTATATATCCGTTCATGTTGAGATGGTCGATGATAACAGCGTCAGGATCACACTGCGTTACAAGATGGTAACGATCAACACGGCTTCCTGATGAGATGATTAAAGAGACACAAGTGGAAGGGTGGACTGACGATTGTTATTGAACTGTAAAATGTGCGAAGGAATTTAGAACTTGTCTGAGCATGTTAATTACGTAAACGCACATGCTCATCAAAGCTGTTGGTTGAGGTGTTTGAGTGTGAACTCTTAGAAATTGGCTTTGGGTGAACTTATTACTTTTGTCGTTTTGACCATAATCAGATAGAGGCACAGAGGCCTGAATTTCTCAGTATGTTGGGGAATTTTTCAAATATGGTTGAGTTTGAACACACTCAATGTAACAACAGTAAAGTATGTTTATGACAAACATGCTTGTTATGACCTGAACGATAAAACAAACCGTTTGTTTTTTGTTCAGGACACAAGCTGTATTTTTCACTTGAAATGTGGATGAGGATTCAAATGAACTAGAAGTGGCCCCTTTAAGTTTGTTAAGGTAGTTGACTGTACTGTGATTTCTCTGTGTGCATAAATGGAGGTGACACATGGTTTAGCACTTGTAAGTAGGGCTGTGCAATATTACCGGTACAGTATCTCGCGATACGATTATCCGATATGGTTCAGATTCTGCAATATATTGGGTCATCCAGAGTTAGCCCCCCTTTGAATTATATGCCCTTGACTTCCATGGCAACAATATGTGCTCTAAAAGTGTCAAATATACTTTTATTTCAGTTGGTTTCATGTAACATTTTACAAGTGGAAGTATCTTTATAAGTGGCTCTGAAGAACCAAATATTCTACCAAGTTTTGTGGGTTTGAATGGTTTAATATGTGACAGTTTGGAGGAATTAAGTGGCCTCAAATGGGCCAATGTTTTATTTGGGCTCATTAGTAAATTCTCTGGCTCTGAGGGACCATTTCACAATTCAAAATAATAAGGCATAATAATAATGAGGGTATACCATTATCCAAGAGGTACCAAAAGGCAAATCGTTTTTCATTTTCTGCAATTTTGTTAGAAATATTATACCCCAATGTGTTGTGATGACAAATATCTGGTTAACCACATTACCCACACATGGGAAATTTTGAATGTGGGTTTGCTACCGATTTCTTCAAAATAAAATGGAAGCTTTTCAAACATTGGACATCGAGAATATAGTTGGCTACATACTTTTTGATCGACCCTCATACCGTAACAATAAGTACATCCTGCATTTAGGTCCATTCTGTTGAAGCAAACAACACTGACCATGAAAATCAAGTTATACTATTACCTTTATCATTATGTTCGCAAAACTCTGTTGCAATACTTCAATTAAATATTCCACGTAAAAGCTCTATATCATTTTATTTATCTGTAAACCATTGGCATACAGCCATACACAATGGGGACGGGGAGCTGAAAGTATGTTGTAACAGCAACTAAGAAGATGACGTCTCACACAGAGAGCTATTATGAATTTATGATGAACGCACTTGGGCAGAAGCCTTCCAGTCAATATATCACAATATATATTGCAATATCTCTGAAGTTATTGCAATATTTCGCATTGTGAGTTTGTTTTACAAGCAATATGAAAATGAGAGCAATATCCAGCCCTACTTGTCAGTTGGTTTTTACAAGCCTTTACATGTTTTTTAAGAAAATGATCAGGCAGGTAAACTGTGGTTCAAAATTCAGTTTGTTGACCACAACAGTATGAACCAAGGCCAGTAATACTGTTGCTGTTTCATGTTTGGGTTATAGAATTCTAAATATTTTCTTATTTAACCTGAATAATACTTCTGAACTTTTGCTATGCAGACAAAAGCAATAGCATGTTAAATCACAATGTGTGTTCTGCAAGTGGTTTTATACAGATCTCCTGGGGCGGTGGGGTAGCCTAATGGTTAAAGCGTTGGCTCGTCACGCCGAAAACCCGTGTTCGAATCCCCACATGGGCACAATGTGTGAAGCCCATTTCTGGTGTCCCCCGCCGTGATGTTGCTGGAATATTGCTAAAAGCGGCGTAAAACCAAACTCAGTCAGTCAGTATACAGATCTCCTAAGTTGAACACTGAAGGACCGAACATCTTTTCTGCTGTGACTTCCAGGAACTCTATTAATGTGGATGGATAATGTTTAGAATGCTTCTCCTGTGATTTCCATGAGCTCTCATCAATATATGTTGATAATCTTCATAACTATTGTTTTGATCTCTGCCTACTCAGATCAGTGTGGGTTGACATTATTTATAACGGATCTGTTGTGAATTCCAGGAACTGTTTTACTGCCATGGTCTGCGGAAGCTGAGTATCAGTGACAATGAGATCAAGAGTATTCCTCCTGCCATCTCCAGCCTTGCCAGCCTGGAGGAACTGGACTTCAGCAAAAATGGTAAGTCAAAGCTTATACCCTGCCTTCTTTTTATGGGTATTAAGTGGGACAAGTGTCAAGCTTCAGGACTGCTTCACTGGTTCTACCTTTGATAGAATTCTCAATGGTCTGGTGGATAGAGTGCCCAGAAAGCATAAGGTTAGTGGTTCGTTGCCCAGGTCACAGTGTCACACCAAAAGATGGTACTTTTTTTGTTACCCTGCCTGATGCTTGGCATTCATGAAACAATTACTGAGAGGGATATCCATGATAAACTGCAATATGCTATCTCTTGGATAGCAGATGCAAGCAGGCATGGTGTCCTCTCACTTTGCCAGATCCTGTCAAAACAAGTCTCTCACATAGCCAGTGTGGGATTTGGCTGACTGGGGTTAGTGTTTTGATAACACCTGGTCGAGATGAGCCATAGTTTGTTTCAACAAAATGCCCATTTAGTGAGATTAGTGAAATTTGTATTAAAGTGAGATACTTGTACATTGATATGGTATTATTTGAACTATTTTGGAGGATTTGAGGAAATGCTCAGTTAGTGACATCAGTCACATTTGTATTTATGTGAGGTACATTGATATGGTATAATTTGAATTCTTTTGGAGGATTTCAGGAAATTCTTAATTAGTGATATTAGTGAAATGATTTTAACTAGTCCAAGATTATTTATGCAAAAATAATTATTATTCCTAGGACAAACATTTAGGCCTCTGGTTTCCAAAATACGCAAATTGGACTGTACAAATAAATTCTGTACTTTATAAAGTTTCACTAATGATAAATTTGCTAAAAGTATTGTTGCTGTATGGATGTTTATATTCATGTATATTGTATGCTTAGTGTTGTTTGTGATATCATGTACTTTTGTAGTAATGTTATAAAATACAAGTCATACTCACACACACACAAATATATGCAAAGTATACCTCGTAAGGATGGCAACGCTGCAATAACTTGGTGTGCCTAGTGGCTGCAAGAGTTGTATGATCCCCAGGGAGTTGAGATTGATAATACGATGTATCACTGAGATTCACATCCAATGATCGAGAGAGAAGAACAGCACATTGAACATGTACTAGTGGTGTGGATATGTGTGTTATATAAATATCCTATAATGATAAATAATAATATAATAATAAAGCATGCTGCTATGTAAGCATAGTAATTTTGGGATAACCTTTTAAGATATTCTCCTAACCACTTACTATTGGAAAATGTCCTATGTTTTCACTCTCTCGACCTTAAACTAGCATTAGAATGGATTCCAGGTTTGATGGGTTTGTATTGTACGTCGTCATATGAGCGAAATATTCTCAAGCACGACGTGAAACCCAATTTCACCTCACCTCATCTTGTATTGTACGAAACACTGAAGGCCAGTTATGTTTTGTATTCTAGTGATTCTGAGGCAAAATATTTTGTTTCTTTTAGTTTCCATGAAACACTGATGTTACAAACCATATAAAGTGGAAAAAATTAATTAATTTTTTTTATTTATCTAATCATAAAATTGTGTGTTCACCACAAAAAGATTACACATTGGTTAAACAACATAGCCACTGCTACAATATTTTCACAAAATCTTTTCAAGAAATAGTCTTGAGTCACTGATTTCCACCTGTCAGACAGATCATTCATATACTACAACTAATCACCAAAATAAGAAAAAAATATTTGCCCTTTTAAAAATAAATAGTACAGAGATGCATTTTATCAAACAAGTTCCAGTCATCTTTGAGGTATGAGAAATAATAAGCCAAACACATTTGCCCTTTTTCTTCTTGCAGTCAGTGGTGGCGGTGGGGTAGCCTAGTGGTTAAAGCGTTGGCTCGTCAAGCCGAAGACCCGGGTTCGATTCCCCACATGGGCACAATGTGTTAAGGCCCATTTCTGGTGTCCCCCGCCGTGATATTGCTGGAATATTGCTAAAATCGGCTAAAACTTAACTCAGTCAGTCAGTCAGTCTTGCAGTCAGTACATTATCAATTGGCTGATCATGCTCTTTATTCCAGTGGGTAGTGTAGCCTTACCATGGAACAATATTAGCAATTACCATCAACATTATTTGTTACAAAAAAACAAACACTATAAATCCTGACAAAACACCCATCAGACCGTGAAGGATGCCAGGGAAGAGATATTCTCATAAATCCCTGGCTTAAATACGGTAATTTCATTACAAATAAATCATTAATGATTAATGAGAGGTTCGCTATTGATTACCACAGAAAAAACGGAGCTCCCCATTGTAATTAAGATTGATCTCAAGAACCATGACTACTTTGCAAATTGATTGACATTTATTGTCATTATTATCCTGTGTGTTGACCATCTTAATCAGTTAATATCAATGAAATATTCACGTAGTAAGTTCAGTACACTAGTACCTTCACCTTGACGTAATTAGTGCACCTGTCGGTTACCTGTTGATAACAATCAGAAGGTAGACCAAGGTTGATGGATTATGCCCTGGAGAATCTCAGAGTGAGTGAGGGAGTGTGGTTTACTCTGCTTTTAGCACTATTCCAGCAATATCATGGCAAGGGACATCAGAAATAGGCATCACACATTGTTAATTTGTATCAAGTGGGGAATCGAACTGGGGTCTTCAGTGAATGCTTTAACCACTAGTACCCTCTAATGCCCCTCATCTCATGAGAGGGCTGTGGTGTAGCATAGTGGTTAAAGTGTTTGCTCGTAACACCAAAGACAAGGGTTTGATTCCCCACATGGGTGCAATATATGAAGACCATTTCTGGTGTCCCCTGCGTGATATTGCTGGAATATTGCTAAAAGCGGCGTAAAACTAAACTTGCTCATGAGAACAATCAGTACATCCACATGTTCCACGTACCACACATCACATGTTTTAAGATTAATTTTTAAGTGACCTTTATTTTAACAACCAACAAACATAGGAGTTGAATTTTAAGTTTAAATTATTTTCATGTTGGCGTTAAATATTAGAAGCTTGAAGTTTTTTAAAAGAAATTAAATTAAGTCTTTAATCAGCAGCAACGTGGTAACCTTAGATGTACTCTTAATGTTTGTCATGCTGAATGTAGAACTGGGCCTGACATGGCATGAGTACCCAGGTAGTGTTGTCAGGGATGACTCTGTCGGTCGAGTTTGCTGAAGCAGTGATGATGTGAGGATGTGATGTTTTCCATGACAGATTTCTTGGATACTTTGAATAGTTCTGGTACAATACAAGTGTAATTCTCCGAACTGCATAGTGTTTTTTTATTTGTTCACTTGATTTGTTAGAGAAACTAGATCTAGCGTAGATTAAACGAGATTTTTAACAGATATTGTATAGGATTCATTATTCCCTTGTGAAGGAAAATATGATTTTCTTGTTCGGGACATTTTTTGTGTATTCTGAAATAATATATTTTGATAGAATGTCCCCTTTTGCTCTTACAATTGTTTAAGGTCATTTCATGTGATATTCAACTTAATAGTTCCAATTTCTTAATATACATCTTTCTCAATCAGGTGTATATTATAATTTCAAACACATCTTGTCGCCATCATTCAACTTTTGCTGTGCTTAGAATTGTGTTAAGTACCAGTCTTACTTGGCGAAATCCTAAAAGTGTGTCTGAGACAAGGGCGTGTACATCATTTGAAAATGGCTCCACTGACAGGGTGTTGGGGATGTGGTGACATTTACATCCGTCCACGATGACTCGGACCTCACTTTGATCTTTGCCGAGTGAGGTGCTGTTGTATTGACATTGTGCACAGCAGTTATTGACAGTAGATGGCGCTGTGGAACGGTGTAGATGCTGGTGAGACGTCTCAACCTTTGGCTGACGTTTTGTAATGAGCCAGACTTTTTGTCTGATTGCTTTCATGGGTTGACATTTTCAGATACTACTGAAGGTCAAGTGGTTTTCTAAGCCCTAATCACTTAGTATCAATCGGAGTTCAGTTATTGACGAGTTAATGTAAGGGTACTGCTGCTAGCATTACAAGTTTCTGATGAACACTAGAATGCTTTAACACATGAAACATTGAAAGGATTTAATGATTTTTCAATTTCACCAGAAATTCAAGATGTAAGAAGAGGTTTATGACGTTTGAAGGGCTGTAAAACTGCTAAGTAAAAATTGTGGTTCAAAAGTGGAGTGAGTGAATATAGTTTTAAACCACTTTTAGCAATATTCCAGCATTATCACGGCTGGAGACATTGGGCTTCACACATTGTACCCATGAGGGGAATCGAACCCAGGTCTTCGGCATGACAAGCCAACGCTTTAACCACTAGGCTACCCCACCTCCCAGGTTAAAAAGTGGACAAGAGGGACACTGACTACAAGTCCACTTTGTTGTCAGAGATATAGGGGATACTATATGTAGAGAGAATGAGTGAGTGAGTTTAGCTTTACGCCGCTTTTGTCAATATTCCAGCAATATCACGGATATGTAGAGAGAGAGAACTAACTTGGTGCAGTTGTCTTTGAAACTTAACTTTGATATTTGTGACCAGGAAAACATGCACACTTTCTGCGGAGATGTCTATAATATACACATTTAAAGACTCTTATGTAATATTTTGGTCTTTGTACTGTGTTTAAATAGATCACAGATTGTTCTAGGAGTTGATCTCTGCTTTTTGGAATAGTGCACTATTCCCTAAAGATGGTTCTCCTTCAAATAAGGAATTATTAGCATGCAAAAATATTGCTTATGAACATAATTTTGGTGTATTGTTGATTTTCTCAGCATGTTTTGGCTGAAATGATGTTGAGATATGTCTTTTAAAAACACTAACTCTCTTAAGAGATAGATTTAGCCTATTTCTTTTCTGTTCACAACGGGTTTAAACAGTGTGAAAATGGTTTTCCCTTTTCTTTTCACATGTCACGAATGGCGTTTCGTAATCAATATGTTCTTCTTTTCTGGCTTCCTTTTAAAAATAATTTCAAATTTAGATAACAAATTGTGTGTTTGATGCTTCAGCACATTCTTTATATATCTATCTGAATGTTCTCATCTTATCAAAGGGGAAACTCCTTTAAAAAATCTTCCTTGGCAATTTTTCAACAAATACAAGATAAGCAGTACATGAAGAAACCTGCACTAATACAGATAGAGAGGTATGATTTGAAAAGATTTCAAATAGTTCAAAGCTATCCTCTGATATTTGTCCAAGTATACTAATATTCTTATTAAGGTATATAAATAGACAAGAACCATTTCCAGAACTAAATATGTGTTGCTTAATCCTCGGTATCAGTTTATTTGTAACCTGGCCATGTTGGCACAGCGCCACTGATGTGTATTTAAACCCTTGGATTGTGAAATCTTAATTCCAATCAATAATGTTCTTCGCAGTCTCGAGCTTAGGATGTCAGAGATAAGATACATGTTTCCACGACTCAGCATTCTTTTCAATCATAAGGTGGTGGATATAAGTGCAGATTAGATGGTGATATCTTTATTGGGTTTTGATTGGAAAGTGTTGTTAGGGATCGTTGGAGTTAGGGTTGGTTAATAAATTACCATTTTATGGTCGTAAATCTAAATGAGTTTTATTCACATGCGGAATTAAGAAGCCATATTTGTTTGATAGATCTGTAAGCAATGGAATGGAGAGTGTGAGGACAGCAAAGGAACTTCAGATTTCTTACTGATAAAGTAACCTCATAAGTGAACTGGGGCACAGGTGGACCAGTTGTCCAAGATGCTGAACTTTGCTGTTTAGAGTTGCCTCCCCTGGGCATGCCAGAAAGCAGTGATCTTTGGTTCAAATCCCATTTCTTGCTTTGTCAGTGCCGTTCCTATGCTTGTGTGTTTCACCTGGGACGTGGTTCCTGAGGGGTTTTTCCTACACCAAGCTGAAATGCCTTGATATGTTTGAAAAACTTTTAGAGCAGTGTTAAACCAAACTCACTCACTTATATTATTGACAAGGAAGTTGAAAGAAAGTGTATATTTACATTAAGATCATATATCATAAACCTCTAGTGACGTCACTCTATTGTCTCGCCAGGTTCTCCTTTTACCAAGTAAAACAGGCAGTTTTGCGGCCATTCCCCAAGAAATCCCAGGGATTTTCTACAGAATTGCCTGCAGCCCGGGATTTTTCTGAGGAATAGCCCTTGACTTTGAATTATTTTACATGTTTTGAAGATCGATATAACTTTGTCTTGCTTTAACTGAATACGATCATAAAATATCACATTATTGAAAACATCCAATATGTAGTGCTGATGCCTGGTTTCGAACCTGCAACCCTTCACTTCCCAGCTTGTCAGGTTTTTTCCACTTTGAATTATTTTACATGTTTTGAAGATCGATATAACTTTGTCTTGCTTTAACTGAATACGATCATAAAATATCACATTATTGAAAACATCCAATATGTAGTGCTGATGCCTGGTTTCGAACCTGCAACCCTTCACTTCCCAGCTTGTCGGGTTTTTTCCATTAGGCTACGAATGATCGCTGTGAAGAATGAATTTGTTTGTCAATAAGAACTATGTGTTCCTTACAAGACAGGTAGTGCGGGCAGCACACGTGCAAGGCAAGGTATCGGCTGCCAGTCGCATCCCAGTTGATTTCAACAGTAAATACCAAATATAATAATTATATCTCAAGTATATCATCGGTCAGTTCATAAGTTAGATCAAAACCTCAATTTCCCTCAGCCGCGGGCTTACTTTTCTAAACAAAACCTCAGAGGTCAAACCAATTAGTTCTTTATTTTACTAAACAGCTTACTCTGTGTAATGCAAATGTACAAATACATCAGTTGAAAGACCCAAAATAATCTGTCATGTGTTTCTGCTTCTGTGTCTTTATGGTATTCCTTGTTTCAACCTGACAATGTGATTTTGCCGTCTGCTCTTATTGAATAAAAAGATTGTGGGAAATAAGGTAATAATATTTGTCTGGCTCAAATTAGAAATATTAAATTGAATATGGATAAGTTGAAATCCTGGAGTAAGACTGGTCAAGGATATAACATGACTAAAGTACACTTTGATAAGAATGTTGTGTGGTTGTGTCTGAGGGGAAAACAGAACATGGCTGATGTGTTGGGTGGAGTTGACGTTATCCCTTTGTTTTTGCAGGCATCATTGACGTTCCCGACAACATCAAGTCATGCAAGTACCTGAGGTCTATAGAAGCCAGTGTCAACCCCCTGGGAAAGTAAGTGTAGTTGTCTCCCTTTGCACCAGAATCTGATGCTTATGTGTTCGAATCCCAGATTCCTGGTTTCTCAGCACCATAGTTTTGTTAGTAGTTTCTCAATAGTTGTAAACATCTCATACCTGCGTCATTTTGTGGCCTCTTCAAACATTAATCTTAAGTGCCATAATGTTCAGGTTTGCTTTCAACCTGGTTTAATTGCTCACTGGATAATTTCCATTCTCCAAAGTCTGAGAGTTTAGATGGAAAATAAATGTTCACTGCAAATTAAATATACCATTAAATACATCAATACACTTTCTTGTTGATTGTCAGCTACTCATGGTGAAGTCATATTACTTCAACTTTCTGCAAAATAGAAAAGTGAATTGAATATTTTAAAGCAAAACAAAAGTATGACTGAAATAGTTTCAGAGTAGCAAGTTGTTTGGACTGCGTAACCTTGGTAACAAGGAAGTAAACATTTGCAGATCAACCTGCCCTTAATGTCAAGTGAACTTTAAACTGGGTAAATGGATCTGATTTCCTACCTCCCTGCCATCTCACAGATGTTGGTTTCTCACGGATACGTCAGTTGCAACGTTTATGTGCAGCAGTTGCCATCTTTTGTGGTCGTCCTTTACTGAAGGAACGGCAAAGTAAAGCGCTTTAAGATGAAGATTTGCTGCTGGGTTTTTTAAGTAAATTCGTTTCAGGTCAAGGATGTTACTTATGGTGATAGTGTCAATGTTGTAATGTAGATTTATGTTAAGACTAAAAATGCATTTGATGGTGAGAACAATCATGTCAGCTTGTGTGAAGTAAATGTATTTTGTGGTGAAACTGAATACGCAGTTTGTCTATTTCATACTTATTGTAAATTTACTTATCAAATAAATTGAAAAAATGAAATAATTGGCATCATTTGAATTGTGTCAATCACCATAAGAAAAATAGGTTCATTAACTTTGACATTCATCTTCCAAAGTCAAGGAAATTTGTGTAAATAGAACTGAAGCTTTTTGTAAATATGCTTTTCCTCTAGGCTTTTGACGAAATCCTATAAACCTTGACATTTGCTAAGGGAAAAAGATTGTAGAAAATTGGGTTTGGGGGGACGTGCAAGTTCGTTACTGTTACCATACATTACTTCTTGTTAGAGGTCCATGTTGTGGTTTATGGACCTATTAGAACTCAAGTGAATCATGAAATGAGAAATAATGCTCCGAGCTGATCATGGTCCTACGACAGTCCCAACACAGGAGGACATTATTTGAAATCTTGATCATAAATATTTTCCTGGAGCGCTCCTGATCTGATTATTAACAGAAATGGGTTCAGTTGGTGTAATGGTGAAATTATTTCAGTTTAATGCTGGTCTGGGATTTGTTCCAAATGTGTTCAGTTTATGGAATTAATCGCACTGTTTGAGTCACTAAGCGAGCAGCAAGTTTGGAAGAATATTTTTAAGCATATGTTGCTATTGATGTGATTTGATGAAGTGTGACGGGGTCTCATTTCCTTCCACCTCATGTCTTGATAGTAGATGCAATATAACTTTGGTTGGATGTCCTTTGATGTTTGGAATTCATCTCTCCTGGTGTTGGTTGACCTTCATGATGAAGGTGACTGGTGTTTATAGTGAATATGACAGTTTCATCACCCTGACTCAGAGTCCTTGTTGTCATGGAGACTTTCTTGAACAGAATAGTTATACTTGGAATAAGATTGTAAAATACAAGACAAATGTTATGAATAACAACTTAGTTTGTGACTACATATCTGGGCTAGTTCTTGCCCCGTCTTCAGGTGGAAGATTGTAAAGTTATTACTTTCATGTTCAGACCAGTCTAGGAGCAAATAAATGTTTATTTTTTATTGGTTTTTCTTTTTTCTTTTGAGGTCAACATGGAGCATTTTTTAATATTGATTTCTTGAAATAACATTGCTTTTTAGTATTGTTTAAAAGGTTACTAGCATTCATAATAATTGTGACACCAGTTATTTTCTGGATGTAGGTGATCACTGTGGAACTATTGAAGCTACCTGAAACTTTATGTTACAGTAGAATTAAGATAAATAAATAATATATTGGACTGTTACAGATCTCAGCAAATCGGTGTTTGTTGTTAAGTTAAGATTGTATTTGTTCACACTTTAGCTAAGCAGACGGAGTTGTTCATACATGAGCTAAGCAAATCTTGTTGTTCATAGGTGAACTAACCAGATCAAGTTGTTAGTCAGGGACCTAAGCAAATCGAGTTGTTCATAGTTGAGCTTAGACTAACAACTAGTCTCTGAAATGAACATATTTTACTGAAAAAAGTTCATAGTAAAAAAAAAAAATATAATGCAAAGGAGCCCTGAGACTTTTTTCATTTTCAGAAAGCTGTGGAAATCTAGACTTGCCACATTTTCTAGACTTGCGTGGGCTTTCTTGGATATATTTGCTTCAGGGTCTGTACGAGAGACTAAGTTGAGCTGTGCAGGTCGAGTTGTGCATCTGTGAGCTATGCAGTTGTTCATAGTTACATGAACAGATTGAGTCATAGTTGAGCTAAGCAAATCTTGTTGTTCATAGGTGAGCTGAGTAAATTGAGTTGGTTGTAGGAGACCAAAGCAAATTGTAGTTTATAGTTAAGCTCTGCAGATGGAGTTGTTGATCGATGAACTCTGCAGATCAGGTCGCTTATAGTTACATGAGCGGATTGAGTTGTGCCTCAGTGAGCATCAAATGATAAATCAGGTTAAAAGTTGGAGTAGATGTGGTTCTACCGGAGATGCAAAACATGCAAAGCTCTGAAGTGGATCCTATTATGTAGGTTTATGTGGGTCTCATTGGAATTCCGTGGAGTCAGTGATCCAACACACCTATGCCAACAGAACATTTGTAAACAACTTTTGATACCTGTCACCTCACAAAGAAATAGTTTCAAGGGACCATAGGTGCACTTGCCCACATGCATCTATTGTGTAGCACCAGTCCCCCAGGGTTTAGTTTCAATGAAATCACTGCTGTTGACAAACCTACAGACTCATTTCATGGCAGAACTTTTTAAGACTTGACATTGCAACCTTTGTAAACATTCAACCCTTGAAACACACGACTGTGCGGCAGCCATTTGTATTTTCTGACAGTATCCACTCTCAAAGAAAAGGATTACCAATATTTGAAGGGCGATTTAGCTTTAGAAACAAAAGACAAGCCAAGATGTATTCCTGGAGTTTCTAACTAAGTCCTAAGTTTGCGAGATGGCAGGTTTGCGGGGTTCCACGTTGTTGTTTACAGTGAATATAACAGCAGCATATGTTGTCTCCAGTGACTCGGCATATCTGGTGTTGACGCTGCTGTCAGATCATGCAGAGAGGTGTGCCTCTGTTTACAAATGGATGACAATAAGTCCTTTGTGTTTGACTTCTCAATGGTCAGCAGGAACAGGCTGTTGAAGCATGTGGTACAGTAAGGGCTGGGTAGCTGTAAACTATTTGATCTCCTAGGTTATAAACCTTCATCAGATGATGTCAGTTTATGATAGACACCAAAAACATTGGAACCTTGTTTACTGAAAATCCATTGATCCTCGATAGTCAGGAGAAATCCATTGACCCTCAACAGTCAGGAGAAATCCATTGATCCTCAACAGTCAGGAGAAATCCATTGACCCTTGGTAGTCAGGAGAAATCCATTGATCCTTAATGGGCAGGAGAAATCCATTGACCCTTGATAGTCAGGAGAAACCCATTGAACCTCAACAGTCAGGAGAAATCCATTGACCCTCAACAGTCAGGAGAAATCCATTGACCCTTGATAGTCAGGAGAAATCCATTGATCCTTAATGGGCAGGAGAAATCCATTGACCCTTGATAGTCAGGAGAAATCCATTGATCCTTGATAGTCAGGAGAAACCCATTGAACCTCAACAGTCAGGAGAAATCCATTGACCCTCAACAGTCAGGAGAAATCCATTGACCCTTGATAGTCAGGAGAAATCCATTGATCCTTGATAGTCAGGAAAAATCCATTGATCCTTGATAGTCAGGAAAAATCCATTGACCCTTGATAGTCAGGAGAAACCCATTGATCCTTGATAGTCGGGAGAAATCCATTGATCCTTGATAGTCAGGAGAAATCCATTGACCCTTGATAGTCAGGAGAAATCCATTGATCCTTGATAGTCGGGAGAAATCCATTGACCCTTGAAATCGGGAGAAATCCATTGACCCTTGATAGTCAGGAGAAATCCATTGACCCTTGATAGTCAGGAGAAATCCATTGACCCTTGATAGTCAGGAGAAATCCATTGACCCTTGATAGTCAGGAGAAATCCATTGACCCTTGGTAGTCAGGAGAAATCCATTGACCCTTGGTAGTCAGGAGAAATCCATTGACCCTTGATAGTCGGGAGAAATCCATTGATCCTTGATAGTCAGGAGAAATCCATTGACCCTTGATAGTCAAAAGGGTCAATATGGTCTTTTATTTCAAAACTTTGAGCTGTTACAACTTCAAGGTAGAAAGAAGAGGATTTCATGTCTGTTACTTATGGACACCTTTTATAATGAAAAAACAGTAACTGGAAGTCAAGAAGACCATCACATGTTTTTCAATTAGAAGCGTCTGATTTTGGAGACAAATTGCCAGTATATCCAACAGAGTCAACTGGATTCTGTCAGACCCCCGAGAAATGTTTTCTTGAACAATGTGTTGAGTTTGAGGTTTATTGTATCAGGCTGTACACATAGTCTGTCTATTCAGGTCAAGCATCATACAATATGCTCACCCTGGGAGACAGGATTCTTTTCAAACTTGATTAGTCATTCATTACAATTGTTGTCCATTGTATACATTATCCTACAGATGTGAGCTGAAAGAATTTTGAAAATTCAAGCATCTCTCTTGATCCAATTTCTATTGCGCAGATTTCATTATTTAGTTAATAGGAGCCAGAATCTTCAACAATATGGTCACGAAACCATCCTGAAAGATAACAGATATGTTTTATTTGATTAAAAGTTTTCAC